CAGCTTGGAGCATAATTCAGTCTTGATCACATAGCTTAGTTGGGTTATATTGCTTGAAATGTATTGCTATTGTTGATACAGACTAGAATCCTCCTCTGTTTCCCCACAGTCGTGGAGAAATGTTATTACTGGAAGCATGCACACACACACACACACACGCACGCAGAGAGAGAGAGAGAGAGAGAGAGAGAGAGAGAGAGAGAGAGAGAGAGAGAGAGAGAGAGAGAGAGAGAGAGAGAGAGAGAGAGAGAGAGAGAGAGAGAGAGAGAGAGAGAGAGAGAGAGAGAGAGAGAGAGAGAGAGAGAGAGAGAGAGAGAGAGAGAGAGAGAGAGAGAGAGAGAGAGAGAGAGAGAGAGAGAGAGAGAGAGAGAGAGAGAGAGAGAGAGAGAGAGAGAGAGAGAGAGAGAGAGAGAGAGAGAGACAGAGAGATGTAAACACAGAAATAGCAGACAGCTTAACCAGAGGCCCTCCCGGATGTAGAGAAAGTTTCGCGAACGCCAGATTATGACCGATAACCGCGGATTTGCTGTCACGAACGAGCATTGCCGTAACGATATGCTCGAAGAACGAATATGTTGTGTGTGTGTGTGTGTGTGTGTGTGTGTGTGTGTGTGTGTGTGTGTGTGTGTGTGTGTGTGTGTGTGTGTGTGTGTGTGTGTGTGTGTGTGTGTGTGTGTGTGTGTCCCGACAAAATGAACCATTATTACACAACAGAATAACAGTCTTCTTTACAAACTGAATATTAAAAAATAGCTGAACTTCTATCGACTTGGCTCTTGCTCTCAACCCCAAACAGAAATCTATTTCCCTTCCCTAACACCCAAACCCCCAAACAAACCCCCATCCCTTAATGTCAACAAAAACTCCAATTCCCATCCCAATACCAACACCTTAAAACCTAGTCTTAAATACCCTACACCCTACACCCAACCCTGCACAAACGCTCCCTCCATCCTTCCCCCCCCCCCCCCCGATCTGTCTGCAGCTTAACTCTTGGCGCCTTACACGATTCCCCCCTCCCTACACCCCCCACCTCAACCCACCTCTCCATCCCCTCAGTTCCCCCGCCCATGTTGCTGAGGGCCGCATGGGGGAATGTGTCTCTCCTCTTTCACTGTCACCATACCCCATTCTATCCCAGCTCCTTGTCCTCATTTTTCTCCTGTTGGTATGGGTTCCACCGGAATCTCTTCTGTTTTCCAAGTGTTCCAAAGGAATCTCTTCTGTGTTCCAAGTGTTCCACTGGAATCTCTCATGTTTTCCATGTGTTCCACCGGAATCTTTTGTTTTCTAATGTGTTACATTTGAATCTCATGTTAATTACTCTCTGTTCATTAGTTTCATTCAGTTCCATTTAATGTGTGACTAGATTCCTTTAGTGTTTCACTGACTTCTTGCATTCCCATCTTTCTTAATATTCTATCATTATTCCTCTCGTTCAGACGTAAGATAAGATAAGATAAGTTGCAGGAGAAAGCACTAAGCCATTGCGACTATATATAATATTGAGAAAGAATAAGGATTTAGGATAAGATGAAGGAAGGAAATTTTGCCAGGAACTCAGACGATCGGGGATTGAACGCCGACCAGCAGGAAACGAGTCCATCCCCCTACCGCCCCCAGTCCAAGAACCTCGGTTTCTCTTCGTGTTTAATGACGTTCAGATTACGAGTCAGACTATATGCATGTACTAAAATTATATAAGTGGAAAATGGTAAGTGGTTTTGCCTACATAAATTAAATAATTACCATGTTGTTTGGAGCTCACTACCCAAGCATGGTAGAGTATGCTCAGTGTTACTTGTAATACTGACGTTTAAATACCATTTTTAAATGAGTAAATACACTGTTTTACAGCAAACATGGGTATGGGGCGCATAATAAATGAACTAAACTAACGTTAACTGCTGAGTGATTTGCAAAATGCTTAGCATTAATTTGCATAGACCTACTAAAGCATTATGTTAATTCCTCGGCATTTAATGCTAAACAATTTGTTAGATGTTTAGTATTTAGTTTAATGCTGATATGACTTTAGACAGTGTAAGCCATGCTGATGCCCATGAAGCCCGTTCTCTCCAGCATTCCCAACGTCAAGAAACTGTCATGCTAAAGTGCCCTTATCCTAACCTACCAGAGCACCTAAAACAGAAAACGGGACAGTATGTCAATTTGGCGAGCCATTTTCTAGTCCTTAGATAAAGAATACGTCAAAATACGTCCTGCTATTAAGAGGTTGGTGAGACAATGTCATATATCAGACAATGCGGGAAGGTTATCTTGAGGGTTATCTTGAGATGATTTCGGGGCTTTAGTGTCCCCGTGGCCCGGTCCTCGACCAGGCCTTCACCCCCAGGAAGCTGCCCGTGACAGCTGACTAACACCCAGGTACCTATTTTACTGCTAGGTAACAGAGGGCATAGGGTGAAAGAAACTCTGCCCATTGTTTCTCACCGGCGCCCGGGATCGAACCCGGGACCACAGGATTACAAGTCCAGTGGGCTGTCCGCTCGGTCGACCGGCTCCCTAAAGTTATATTGGAGGCGATGAGGGGTAACTGACTCAATTAATGAGTACCTCAGATCAAAAAATAATGACAATAACATAACATAAATGAGATAAACGGAAGACTCCCGGAAAGTCTAGAAGTAGAATCTTTATAGACTTCGGACTTGGGAGACTTTGACGTATTTAAGACTTATGTTACCTTAACGTACTTCAGATCTGGATAAGTAACGACCCGTTTGTGAAAGTGATATGGGAGCGATCCTAAATTTGTGAAAGTGATATGACAGTGATCTTAGTTTGTGAAAGTGATATGGGAGCAATCCTACGTTTGGGAAAGTGATATGGAGGCGATCCTACGGTCGTGAAAGTGATATGGGGGCGATCCTACGGTCGTGAAAGTGATATAGGGACAATCCTACGGTCGTGAAAGTGATATGGGGACAATCCTACGGTCGTGAAAGTGATATGGGGGCGATCCTACGGTCGTGAAAGTGATATGGGGGCAATCCTACGGTCGTGAAAGTGATATGGGGGCGATCCTACGGTCGTGAAAGTGATATGGGGACAATCCTACGGTCGTGAAAGTGATATGGGAGCAATCCTACGGTCGTGAAAGTGATATGGGGGCGATCCTACGGCCGTGAAAGTGATATGGGGGTGATCCTGCGGTCGTGAAAGTGATATGGGAGCAATCCTACGGTCGTGAAAGTGATATGGGGGCGATCCTGCGGTCGTGAAAGTGATATGGGAGCAATCCTACGATAAAACAGTTCCCCTTTACAAGGATGTGAGACAGGTCATATCTACAAAAGGATGGTAAGCAAGTAACTTTAAAAATGCTATATGGTAAGTCACCTTGCAATAGGCTTTGCTATCTTGGGGGCCTCGTAGCCTGGTGGATAGCGCGCAGGACTCGTAAGTCTGTGGCGCGGGTTCGATTCCCGCACGAGGCAGAAACAAATGGACAAAGTTTCTTTCACCCTGAATGCCCCTGTTACCTAGCAGTAAATAGGTACCTGGGAGTTAGTCAGCTGTCACGGGCTGCTTCCTGGGGGTGGAGGCCTGGTCGAGGACCGGGCCGCGGGGACACTAAAGCCCCGAAATCATCTCAAGATAACCTCAAGATAGATCTTATGCAGCAAACGATACTGGCCACCTTATTCAGAGCTACAGGTCACCTCGTAACATTTTTCATAAGATGTGTCGTCTAAATAGCTACCAAACAAACCTTCACACATAGTTGAAAGGCGGGACCAAAGAGCCAGAGCTCAACCCCCCCGCAAGCACAACTAGGTGAGTACATAAGCACAGTAACTGTCTATCAGACACTCTCCCCCCCAAAAAAAAATCTTAATAACCTGAATGGTTATTGGGATGGGTATCGGATGCAATAGCACTCAGGATGGGTATCGGATCCACTACCACTCACAGGATGGGTATCGGATCCACTACCACTCACAGGATGGGTATCGGATCCACTACCACTCACAGGATGGGTATCGGATCCACTACCACTCACAGGATGGGTATTGGATCCACTACCACTCACAGGATGGGTACCGGCTCCACTACCACTCACAGGATGAGTATTGGATCCACTACCACTCACAGGATGGGTACCAGATCCACTACCTCTCACAGGATGGGTACCACATCCACTACCACTCACAGGATGGGTACCAGTTCCACTACCACTCACAGGATGGGTAACAGCTCCACTACCACTCACAGGATGAGTACCGGCTCCACTACCACTCACAGGATGGGTATCGGATCCACTACCACTCACAGGATGGGTACCGGCTCCACTACCACTCACAGGATGGGTAACAGCTCCACTACCACTCACAGGATGGGTATTGGATCCACTACCACTCACAGGATGGATATTGGATCCACTACCACTAACAGGATGGGTATCGGATCCACTACCACTCACAGGATGGGTATCGGATCCACTACCACTCACAGGATGGGTATCGGATCCACTACCACTCACAGGATGGGTACCGGCTCCACTACCACTCACAGGATGGGTATCGGATCCACTACCACTCAGAGGATGGGTATCAGATCCACTACCACTCAGTGGATGGGTACCAGATCCACTACCTCTCACAGGATGGGTATCGGATCCACTACCACTCACAGGATGGGTACCGGCTCCACTACCACTCACAGGATGGATATTGGATCCACTACCACTCACAGGATGGGTATCGGATCCACTACCACTCACAGGATGGGTATCGGATGCTCTACCACTCACAGGATGGGTATCGGATGCTCTACCACTCACAGGATGGGTATCGGATCCACTACCACTCAGAGGATGGGTACCAGATCCACTACCTCTCACAGGATGGGTATCGGATCCACTACCACTCACAGGATGGGTAACAGCTCCACTACCACTCACAGGATGAGTACCGGCTCCACTACAACTCACAGGATAGTGCATGATAAATTAACTAATCAGAATTATAACTCACCTGACAGAGATGACAGTTTGCGTGGTGTAAAAGTTCTTCCTTCATCCCGTCTCGCAAACTTCAATGAAATCTCTTCTGTCTGTTCAATGAAATCACAAAATTTTTATATATCTACAATATAATATTGGAGTCATACATTGGGATCGAACCCGCGTATCTGTTTTACCATTTGGGATTACGTTGTAGGCTAGAAATATAATTTTTCCCCCTCCTTGTGGGATTTAATGGCCACTGAAGTCATTTATTGAGGTGAGGTGCATGTTTACACTTCCAAAACTTTTCCAAGTTCAATGGCACCTTTTTTTTAGCATTGTAACGTTTATTTCTGAATTGCCTTGTTAGTTGCTTGTTATTATACATGTCATATCACGCAGAGTAATCAGTAAGGGTTTATTTTTAATAAATCCCATAGCTTTGAATAATTCATTCATAAGACACAAACGTTTCTGGCACTTGAGGTGGTAAAATTAACGCTGGCACTCAACTTCCACGGGACTGGTAGTGTTGGCTGGCATGACATAAGCAGCCTCGAGGCACTGCCGGACGAGGAGGAGGCGGCGGCTCAACAAGTACACCAGTGCCAAGCGCCGGGGGCACTGTAGTCACGGTGCCAGATGCAGCGAGCGAGAGTGGCGTGCGTCCTTCCTCCACGGCGGCCACCGGCACACTGATATATCCTCGGCTCCCTCTCCCTTGGGTCTTCACGCTGAGCTCCACATGCGATTGTCGCGCGCTTCACACCGCTATCTTTTGCCCCACGCATTGTTTTTGTATACCTGGAGTATACCTGGAGTATACCAGGAGTATACCTGGAGTGGGTCCTGGGAGACCTTCCACTACCCAAGCTCAGGCTATGGCCAAGCTTGACGTCTGATAACTAGGTCTAACAGGCTGTTGCTTAGGCCCGCAGGCCGATATATTCACTACATCTCAGCTGGTCTGATTATCAGGAAGATTAAGTACATAAGTGATAGGTAGATGCAAGGGGGGGGGGAGATAGAGTACTGCTGTATTTACAGTGTTCATTGTTCATAGTCACCACAATGAAACTTTGCATTTGCACGAAAGCTTACATATAAGTACACACACACACACGCTCACATACGCGTGCACACACACACACACTAGGTGAGTACACATATACACACAAATCTACCTGTTGACTGACGGTTGAGAGGCGGGACCAAAGAGCCAGAGCTCAACCCCCGCAAGCACAATTAGGTGAGTACACATACAAACACGCACACACACACACACGTACTCACCTAGTTTTGTAGTCACGCAAGCACAACTAGGTAAGTACAACTAGGTGAATACAACTAGGTAAGTACACACACACACACACACACACACACACACTCACCAGTTTTAGAGTATGCCGCCCCATCATGGAATCCCCTACCTGAAGAAACACACTAGGAAACTGGAAAAGGTTAAAAAATTTGCGACGAGGCTCGTCGCAAAAATAGGCTCGTTCCAGAGTTCCGAGGATGAAGAGCGACTGAAGGAACTGAACCTGACGCCGCTAGGAAAAAAGGGAGGGCGCGGGGAGAAATGATAGTGATTTATAAAATACTTAGGGGGGGGGGATTGACATTGTGGAAATATATGAAATGTGCATACTGAATACCGATAGAACAAGGGGGACATGGGTGGAAGCTGGAAACTCAGATGAGTCACAGAGAGGTTAGAAAGTTTTCTTTTAACGTAAGAGTAGTGGGAAAATGAATTGAACTAAAGGATCACGCTGTTGAAGCAAACAATATTAATTGTTTTAAATGTAGATATGATAGGGAAATAGGACAGGAGTCATTGCTTTAAACAACCGGTGGCTAGAAAACTGGGATCCAGGAGCCAATGCTCGATCCAGCAGGCACAAACTGGTGAGTACAAATAGGGCTGTGAACACACACACACACACACACACACACACACACACACACACACACACACACACACACACACACACACACACACACACACACACACACACTCACCAGAACAGGCGAGGACAGGTATACAGAGAATGACAGAGAGGTGTGTGAGGAACTCAACAAGAGGTTCCAGGAGGTCTTCACAATAGAACAGGGTGAGGTCACTGTGCTAGGAGAAAGGGAGGTAAACCAGGCGGCCTTGGAGGAGTTCGAAATTACGAGAGAGGAGGTTAAGAGACACCTGCTGGATCTGGATGTTAGAAAGGCTGTTGGTCCAGATGGGATCTCACCATGGGTACTGAAAGAGTGTGCAGAGGCACTTTGCCTGCCACTCTCCATAGTGTATAGTAAGTCACTAGAGACGGGAGACCTACCAGAAATATGGAAGACGGCGAATGTGGTCCCAATATACAAAAAGGGCGACAGACAAGAGGCACTGAACTACAGGCCAGTGTCCTTGACTTGTATACCATGCAAGGTGATGGAGAAGATCGTGAGAAAAAACCTGGTAACACATCTGGAGAGAAGGGACTTCGTGACAAATCGCCAACATGGATTCAGGGAGGGTAAATCTTGCCTTACAGGCTTGATAGAATTCTACGATCAGGTGACACAGATTAAGCAAGAAAGAGAGGGCTGGGCGGACTGCATTTTCTTGGATTGTCGGAAAGCCTTTGACACAGTACCGCATAAGAGGCTGGTACATAAGCTGGAGAGACAGGCAGGTGTAGCTGGTAAGGTGCTCCAGTGGATAAGGGAGTATCTAAGCAATAGGAAGCAGAGAGTTACGGTGAGGGGTGAGACCTCCGATTGGCGTGAAGTCACCAGTGGAGTCCCACAGGGCTCTGTACTCGGTCCTATCTTGTTTCTGATATATGTAAATGATCTCCCGGAGGGTATCGATTCATTTCTCTCAATGTTTGCGGACGATGCTAAAATTATGAGAAGGATTAAAACAGAAGAGGACTGTTTGAGGCTTCAAGAAGACCTAGACAAGCTGAAGGAATGGTCGAACAAATGGTTGTTAGAGTTTAACCCAACCAAATGTAATGTAATGAAGATAGGTGTAGGGAGCAGGAGGCCAGATACAAGGTATCATCTGGGAGAGGAAATTCTTCAGGAGTCAGAGAAGGAAAAAGACTTGGGGGTTGATATCACGCCAGACCTGTCTCCTGCAGCACATATCAAGCGGATAACATCAGCGGCATATGCCAGGCTGGCCAACATACGAACGGCATTCAGAAACTTGTGTAAAGAATCATTCAGAACTTTGTATACCACATATGTCAGGCCAATCCTGGAGTATGCAGCCCCAGCATGGAGTCCATATCTAGTCAAGGATAAGACTAAACTGGAAAAGGTTCAAAGGTTTGCCACCAGACTAGTACCCGAGCTGAGAGGTATGAGCTACGAGGAGAGACTACGGGAATTAAACCTCACTTCGCTGGAAGACAGAAGAGTTAGGGGGGACATGATCACCACATTCAAGATTCTGAAGGGGATTGATAGGGTAGATACACCTGTTGATTGACGGTTGAGAGGCGGGACCAAAGAGCCAGAGCTCAACCCCCGCAAACACAACTAGGTGAGTACAACTAGGTGAGTACACACACACATACACACACACACACACACACACACACACACACACACACACACACAGTGTGTGTGTGTGTGTATAGGAAGTGATGTGGTGGAGGCTGACTCCATACACACATTCAAATGTAGATATGATAGAGCCCAGTAGGCTCAGGAATCTATACATCAGTTGATTGACAGTTGAGAGGCGGGACCAAAGAGCCAAAGCTCAACCCCCGCAAGCACAATTAGGTGAGTACACACACACGGAATAGATGTAACAGGAATAAGAAGAACAACATAAATATAATAAAGATGTCAGAGAGAAACTATGAAAATAATATTGCTTCTAATGCAAAGCAAAAATTAAAACTCCAACATAGTCACATATGAAGGAAAACGACAGTGAACAACCAAGTGACTAGCTTACCAAAAAAGGGGATGTGAATATTCAGGAAATTATAAGGAAATTTGCAAGGAACTCAATGCGAGTTTCTTTAGAGTGCTGACGACTGAATCTGAGCAGCTCCCAGTACTAGAGGTTACCCTAGATGAGAGACTATTACATATTGAGGTAACAGCAAGGGAATGTAAAGAAACAACTAGCATCACTACACGAAACTTCAGCTATTGGACCAGACGACGTATCACCGTGAATGTTAAAAGAATATACACAGGCCCTCAGCATAACTCTAGCATTGATTTTTACTAAATCACTTACAAAGGACGAATTACCCAGCTGCCGAAAGAGGCAAATGTGGTACCAATTTAGAAGACAGGTACCAATTTAGAAGACAGGTACCAATTTAGAAGACAGGTACCAATTTAGAAGACAGGTACCAATTTAGAAGACAGGTACCAATTTAGAAGACAGGTACCAATTTAGAAGACAGGTACCAATTTAAAAAACAGAGATAGAGAAGATGCACTTAACTACAGACCAGTGCCACTGGTAAGCATCTCCTGCAAGATATAGAAAGGAATAACAAGGGATAAGACTAGTTGCACATCTAGAGAGACTTAAATATGGAAACAAACATCAACATAGCTTTAGGGAAGGAAAATCGTGCCTAATGAACGTATGATAAACGTTCAATGATAAAGTAACAAAAGTAAGGCAGGAAATGTTGGGTAGATTGCGTATTTCCGGACTGACAAAAAGCCTTTGATATAGTACCTTTAAAGAGATTATGACACAAATTGAGAGGCAGGCGGGAGTAAGAGGAAAATTTTATATGGTGAAAAATTATCCTAACAGACAGGAGTCAGAGAGTCACAGTGAAGGGCGAGAAGGGAGTTAAGAGCACTTGTGTGCTCCTACCAAATAGATGTAATTGCAGTCACTGAAACATGGATAAATATTAAATCCAGGGAACTATTTGTGAAGTAAAAAATAGGGACATAAATTGTTTCACTGTGATAGAGCAATTTAACAACAAACCGATGATATTAGTACACATTAACAATTAAATAAAAACAGTGTCATATGGAAATCTATAGAATCTATGTATCTATGGAAAAAATCTTTAGCGCAATGTGGTGGAATCAAGGGTATTAATATTTGTCAGAGATGCCGAAACAGTGTTAAAAATAAGGTACATACGAGGCAATTTACCTGAATTTACCTTTACCTGAACCTGGACTTGCAACAAGTCCCCAAGAGCATCACAATGGGAAGCAGCAGTCACGTGTTGTCCCCTCTCGTCCATTTCATATAACCCACCTTCAATACTTTTACCAATATACAGATTTAATTGACTTAAACACTGGAATTAAACCACGGTCCTTCAAAATGCCAGCCAGGCAGATTTCCGTTCATATGACATGGGAGGAAGCAGTAGTGATAAGAGACGCTTAAGTGCCTCGTTGACTCTATAAACTATCCCTACCGCTTATCTCGTTAGATGTGTAATCAGCTAAAAATAGATAGCGGTTATCATTCACTTGCTGAAACTATGTAGAAACAAAATTCCCTGGTGTTGTGACTTTTGATGGCTGCAGATTCTATACACTATCTTCTAATGTTATTTTCTTCTTTAATGATGAGTTTAGTGTCTAAGAAAAAATGCAATCTCTTCAAATTTCTAAATCGTTTCAATGTTCAGTAACCTGTATAGTAACTCCGGGACCTTGAACCGGAAAATTAATTAATA